AAAAAAGTCTTTTCAGCCTGGAATGGAGGGCCACTTTCGGGCCCTCATAAGATCGACCTGCCCTAACACTCAGGCACAAAACCAGGGTTTCGGGAACAGGCTATTTTGGCCTGTTCCCACGACAGCCTCAGCAGGAGCTGCAGCGGCAGGCCCTGACTTCGACATTGGCAAGAGCAGCCTCCTGCAGGTAGTCAGGAGGCAGGCCGAGTAGTACATAGGGAGTTCCCATGCACTTCACGGGTAGGTAGAAGGCAGGAGGCAGTCTTCAGGATTCGGCAGCAGCACTCCGGAGGAGCGCTGCAGGAGTAGCGTTAGCACTAGCAGTAGTCTTCAGCGCTGGGCGCTAGTAGCTGCAGGAGTAGACTTCAGCGCAGGGCGCTAGTAGCAGTAGTAGTAGTAGTGTTGGAGAGAGATGGTTGGCGGAGGCCAGTGAGACTTACCTGTGGCGCCATAGCTCCCGCTCCAATTTCGAGGTACCTGCATCAAGGCGCCAACTTCACAGGTTAGTACCGGACAGAGAGAGAGAGAGAGAGTTCTTCTTCTTCCTCTTCTAAGTCCACCATCTCTTTTCTTCCCCTCTCACTACCTGACTTCTCAGTATCTGCGGACTACGAGAGAGAGAGAGAGAGAGAGTTGTGACTTTGGGACTTGACGACATTGGATCCAGACTCGACATTGGGATTCAGACATTTAACGAGGGACTATTTGGGCCTGTGCCTAAGACTTGGTGTTGACGACATTCCCATTTTCCCCTCTTCTTCGTCTGTGTATGGCGGGGATTGGCGCATTCTTCCTGTGTGAGCGCCAGGCCCCTTCCCACCATGGAATGATGATGATGTGTGTTTGAGGCTGCATTGGAACATTGATTGTTCGGATCATTAGTATCTAAGTCTTCCGCTACGCTATCTTGTACTTTTTGAGAGAGGTCGGTTCTTGTTCTGGTCTGCACCTTCACGGTATGCAACAGTTTGGTATCGGAGCGGACCTCTCAATCAGAGGACCCGCTCAATCAAGTAGCCAGCTTGCTTGATCTATTGATTACTCATTAGTAAATCAAGTAGGACTTCGTCAAATCTCTGAAACTTTTTTCTTGCAACAAATATCTGAAAATTTCTGATAATGGCATTTCGTTTTATCTGAAAACTCCTGATAATAGCATTTCGTTCTACCTGAAAATTTTCGATATTAGCATTTCGTTTTCACGCAACAAATATCCGAAATTTTCTGAAAGTAGCATTTCATTTCTCTGATATTCGCATACATAGCCGAAAATATATGATGTTAGCATTTTGTTTTCTAGGCGTATTAGGATAACGATAGAGGTGGTCATATTCTCGGAAACCGGATTTATTCTTTTCTGAAAATCGAATCTCCATTCTATCTCGCAAATTTTTTTTTGAAAACCAAAATCTTGCGAAGCCTACCAGCATTGCGTTTTAGGCATATTAGGAGGTTGTCATATTGTCAGAAACTGGATTAGTTCTTTTCTGAAAATTGCATCTCTACTCTATTTCGCAATTTTTTTTTGTTAAGATCTCAATTTTGTGAAAGCCGAAACTTCGCGGCACCTGGCCTAGATCTCGCTCGTAGTACTCTTCTGACATACCTCACTCATAACAGATTGACAGATATACAAAAAAAAAGGGGGGGGTGATCCTCTTCTTTTATTTTTTATTTAATTTATTTTGTTGATTAGGGCCGGGAGGAAAGTAAAGCTTGGTTGGTTACCTACCTGCGTTTTCCCTCCCACCCACCCCTTTGCGTGCATTCCCGGTTTGGTACAGTGCCACATCAGCAGTGCCACGTCAGCAGTGCCATGTCAGTAATAGTGCCACATCAGCAACAGTGCCACGTCAGCAGTGCCACAGTGCCACGTCAGCAGTGCCCCGCCACCATGACGGGCTCAGTTCTGGGCATGCCAGGCCAACTGGCCAATGAGTCCATTGCCGAGTACCGACAGCGTTTCGAAGCTCAGCTCGCACTGATCGAGGCTGAGGAACAATGTCAGGCGGCAGCCGAGGCTGCCCGCCCACAGGCTAAAGCGGTGGCAACAGCTGAAAAGCAACGGCTTCAAGCCGAAGCAGAAGCAGATACCCAGGCACGCCGCAAGAAGGCCCAGGATCTGCTACAGCGGCATGAAGCCACCAGCATCGAAAAGCTCAAGTTCTGGCATTTTGAACCATCTGAGCAGCACGACGACGCGACACCGGAAGAGCAGCATAAGGAATTTCTGGCCAAACTCGTGACCCGGTTGGTTTACACTTGTAACCACCTGCAGTCCAAGCTGGCGAATCTTCGACGGGCGGTGCAGAACCACAAGGGTCTGCACAAGGATGCTACACGGGCACTTGATTCCCGTGTACAGGACTTGGAGCAAGGTGCACCAAGACCAGATGCTGGCGAGACCAGCAGTGCACCCTCTACCCGCCAATTGGAGAAACGAGTTGACCACGTAGTCGGAATGCTCGGCGACATCAGCACCTTCGCTGCACCAGCAACCATAAGCAAGCAGCTGGACACCTTGAAGACCGAGGTTCAACAACTGCACCAGCGGCCCAACAAGGAGGGCAACACCAATGCGCAGCACTACAAGATGCCGACATTCCGAATCAAGAAGTTCGATGATTATACGCATCAAGACCCGGTCCTCTGGTGGGAAGGCTTTTACGACGCAACTTCGGATTCTTTTCATCCCCGAGCATTCGTACATCGGCGCGTTGTTCCTCAACTCAAAAGGCGGATGCCAGATCTGGCTCAGCCACCGGGCAACCATTCACGGCGTCCAGGTGGCAAATCTGAAAGATAAGATCTCTTGGGAAGAGTTAACACGGATATGGAAGAAGCGGTTTATCGTGGACGACGCTCGCCATCAACCGTCTCTTCGCTATGACGCAAGGCAACACATCGACACACGACTGGCTCACGGAATGGCAAAAGATCACGGCGACGCCGGATCTCGAATTGCCATTTTCGCATCTGCGCTGGGAGTTCTACAACCGGTCATGTGCCGCCTTGAGCCTTGCACTTGGTGATCACGAGCAATACGCGACCTTCGTCAAAATCATCGACAAGGCAAGGGAGACCATCAAGACCAATAAGGCGGCTGCACACGAGAAGTCGGCATGGCAGCCAACATATGTGGAGAAAGGAAAATTTGGTCCGCGTCCGCAGCATGTCGCTGCAGTCCACTCGGACAATATTGTGGATGACCCGGCATCCACCCAAGCATCACGCGAGGGAAATCAAGTGGCTGTTGTCCAGCCGCGAAGCAACAACAACTCCCGAGGAAAAGGGAAGGCGAAAACCGCATCACCGACCGGAAACGGACAGCCAGCACCTTGGGTCAAGTTTCACTTGACCGAGGCTGAATACAAGTGGCGCGGCCGGTATGGATGCTGCTATTGGTGCAACAACACCAAGCACAAGACCTCCCAATGCCCGAATCAAGGCAAGGAGGATGTTCAGCCTCGCATCAACTCGGGAAATTGAGTTGCGCGGGAGGTGAGGCGACTCCACCTCTCACTCCGCCAAATTCGGTCGCCTTGCTAGCGGCCTCCTACACATCTGGGGAGGATGCGAATGTCGCAAGTCCTCGGTTCACTTACGAGGATTATGCTGTCCACTTGGTCCCACCGTTGGACCAACCACTCCACGTGGGACAATCCACCGCATGCACGGTTTCACTACCATCGACAACCGATTCGGCAGCTTCGCCGCCATCTATCGTCGGGGATTCGACGACATGGTCAAAACTCGACCCGTTGACGTTTGCGGACTTCCAATGGATGCCCCTTCCCCCGTCCGGTCAATTGTCGAAACCGCATTGCAACGTGCTGATGACACAATTGCGGGATTACTTGCGCACTGCAGTACCAACTCCGTTGATGGACGTCGGAGTAGAGGTTGTCGACATTCACGACTACATTGGGAAGATCGACCGCGAGTTCAAGACACAACGGTATGACGACATCGACGCGCCATTGTTCTACATACGCATTCAGATCGGAGAGGCGACCTGCAGCGCTTTGATCGATTGCGGAGCTACTCGCAACTACATGAGCCAAGATTTTATGGTACGCGCTGGCCTTGGGCCACGCGTTCGGAGAAAGTCGCAGCCCACACAAGTCACGTTGGCCGACGGTCACACACACAAGTCAATCAACCAGTGCATTGACGCCGTCCCCGTGTACCTTGCCCCACATGCAAGCGAGGCCGTGTCCTTCGATATTTTGGACACCAAGTTCGACATGATCTTGGGCATGTCATGGCTGCGAAGCGAGGATCACCTGGTGAACTTCTACCGCTGCACCGTTCACGTTCGTGATCGGAATGGAGTACTAGTCCCATGCACGGTGCCTCCTCCTCACCCTTCGATCAGTTGCCACGTGGTGTCCGCCGCAAGCATTCGAGCTTCCATCATCCGGGATGACATCGAGGAGATGGGGGTGTGTTTTCTCCACGCCCTCCCGCGCCAAGACATTCCATCACCACCGGACCCACGCATCACCGAGCTTCTCGACACCTACGACGACGTGTTTGAAACACCCCACGGAGTAGTACCGGATCGGCCCATCCGCTACGAGATCATCCTCGAGGACGGGGCCGTACCTCCGCGTGGTTGCATCTACCGCATGAGCGAGGAAGAGTTAAGTGTGCTAAGGGCACAACTCGACGATCTTCTCGAGAAAGGCTGGATTCGGCCTAGCTCTTCGCCATACGGTGCTTCCGTTCTTTTCGTTTGGAAGAAGAACAAGGAGTTGCGGTTGTGCATCGATTATCGCAAACTCAACGCGCAAACCGTCAAGAACGTCGGCCCTCTTCCACGCATCGACGACCTCCTCGAATGACTGGGCGGCGCCAAGTTCTTCTCCAAGCTTGACCTCAAATCGGGATATCACCAACTCTAGATCCAGCAGGAGGACCGCTACAAGACCCCGTTTAAGACGCGATATGGGCATTTCGAATGGCTGGTTATGCCTTTTGGCCTTACGAATGCCCCGGCCACATTCCAGGCGGCTATGACAATGGAGTTCCGACACATGCTGGATAGATTCGTACTCATCTACCTCAACAACATTTTGGTGTACAGCCGGAGTTTGGACGAGCATGTGGAGCACCTGCGCACCGTTTTGGAGCGACTACGACAAGCCAAGGACAAAGCCAACCTCGACAAATGCGAATTTGCGCGGCAAGAGCTGGAGTACTTGGGACATTATGTGACGCCGCAAGGCATCCGTCCGCTTGCGGACAAGATTGAGGCCATCCGTGTATGGCCCAAGCCCACCAACACCACGGACGTTTGCTCATTCATGGGGTTGGCGGGCTACTATCAATGCTTCATCACCGGGTACTCAAGGATTGCCGCACCTATGATGAGATTACAATAGCCAAAGGTGCCATTCGTATTCGATGACGACGCACGCCGGTCATTCCAAACACTCAAGACGACCATGCTCATGGCACTCGTCCTTAGCATCTACGACCCCACGTTGCCAACGAGAGTGACAACTGACGCTTCTGGCTATGGCATTGGGACAGTCTTGGAACAACACGACGGCGACGACTGGCACCCCGTGGAGTATTTCAGCCACAAAGTGCCTCCCATCAATTCACTTGATGATGCAAGGAAGAAGGAGTTGCTCGCGTTCGTGATGGCTCTCAAGCGATGGCGGCACTTCCTCCTAGGGCGTCGTAGGTTCACATGGGTCACAGACAACAACCCATTGACCTACTACAAGACGCAGGATACGGTGAGCAGCACGATCGGRCGATGGATGTACTTCATCGACCAATTCGATTTCACACCGAAACATCTCCCCGACCTCTCCAATCGCGCAGCAGATGAACTCTCGCGAAGACCCGATCTTTGCGCTATGACACATCATGCCTTCGCATTCGACGAGGAACTCTAGCGACACTTCATCCGGGGCTTTGAGTCTGATCCAGATTTCGCCACATTATATGCGCAGCTATCTTCGGATCACCCGCCGGCCAGCCACTATCGCGTCGTTGACGGGTGCTTGCTCCTCCACTCGAGAGGCAAGGACTTATTGTGTGTCCCACGAGACCGTCATCTTCGGACTCGCCTCCTTCGGGAGTACCATGACTTGCAACTCGCCGACCATTTCGGAGTCAATCGCACTATTGCACGACTTCGGCAACGATTCCGATGGCCAGACCTCATTACCGATGTCCTTCGGTATTGCGACTCTTGCGAAGTTTGCCGACGATGCAAGCCCCGCAACCGCAATCCCTACGGTGAGTTGCGCCTGATGCTTATCCCACAGGAACCCGGCCTCTCCATTACCATGGACGTCACCGGTTCGTTTCCCCGTGACCAGCTCGGGCACGACGGCATCCTCACAGTCATTGACCGTTTGAGTAAGTATGCGCGATTTCTTCCTTGCAAGTACTTCACCACGGCTCCCGAACTTGCGCGCCTCTTACACACCGGCTGGATTTGCAGCCACGGCGTGCGGGAAGACATCGTCAGCGACCGAGACACTCGCTTCATGTCGGCATTTTAGACTGCTCTCATGCAAGAATCCGGCACGAAGATGAAACCAAGTTCGGCTCGGCATCCACAAACGGACGGGCAAACGGAGCGGGCACATCAAAACGCTCAAATGATGCTTCGTACGGATCAGAAGGATTGGGTTGACCGCCTCCCCGACATCGAGTTCGCCTACAACACTTCGTTGCATCTGGCAATTGGCGTGACTCCATTCGAGTTGCACCACGGTGGCCAGAAAGGTCGTATCTTTGCTGATCTTCTCCTCCCACGAACAACCGATATAGACGCTGTTTGCTCCCCCGCTTCCGTCCGGAAGTACAGGGAATTGCTGGCGCAATCCCGCGCGAACATGCAAAAGGCTCAAGTCCGCATGCAGTAGCAAGCCAACAGGCATCGCGTGCCATGTCCCATCCGCGCCGGTGATCTGGTGTGGGTCTCCGCGGAAGAGTTTGCACTTGAACAGGACGTTTCACGCGAACTGCTTCCCAAGTGGTTTGGACCATGGCCCGTAACATCAGTCGCAGTCGATGAGCCCGATGGCCCCTCATTTGTGATCAACACCCCCCCGCATCTGACGGTCCATCCAGTCTTTCACGCCTCAAAGCTGGCAACATATACGACTTCCCGGGCCGACGATCGCAGGACCCTCCATCTATGGATGGTGATCAGGAAGTTAACCGCGTACGGCAGCAAGCCTCGACAGTACAAAATTACATTCAAAGCATGCGATCCTGACGACACTCGATGGATTTCAGGAACAGATTTGAAAGCATCCGCACCACTGATCTACACTCACTACGAGCGACAAAGGTTAGCTAAGGGAACTTCACGACCTGCCCCTCCCACCCGGACTGTGGTCCCTCCCTCAGACAAACAGCTTCGCCCTCGCAGGTAAGCTCGGTCTTTCAAGGAGGGGGGGGTGTGGCATACTACGCAGCCACACGGGCCTGCAGGCCCCGTCCCACGGTCTCAGCCTAAAAGCCTAGAAACAAGGGCTTACAGGCCCCGTGTCGTTTCAGCCTGAAAGCCTGAAAATGAGGGCCTGCAGGCCCTATGTCTAAAACAGGGCCTTTCAGGCCGTGAGTCTTTTCAGGCTGGAACGGAGGGCCACTTTCGGGCCCTCATAAGATCGACCTGCCCTAACACTCAGGCACAAACCAGGGTTTCGGGAACAGGCTATTTTTGCCCTGTTCCCACGACAGCCTCATCAGGAGCTGCAGCGGCAGGCCCTGGCTCACTTCGGCATTGGCAAGAGTAGCCTCCTGCAGGCAGTCAGGAGGCAGGCCGAGTAGTACATAGGGAGTTCCCATGCACTTCATGGGTAGGTAGAAGGCAGGAGGCAGTCTTCAGGATTCGGCAGCAACACTCTGGAGGAGCGCTGCAGGAGTAGCGTTAGCGCTAGCAGTTGTCTTCAACGTTGGGCGCTAGTAGCTGCAGGAGTAGTCTTCAGCGCAGGGCGCTAGTAGCAGTAGTAGTAGTAGTGTTGGAGAGAGATGGCTGGCGGAGGCCAGTGAGACTTACTTGTGGCGCCATAGCTCCCGCTCCATCTTCGAGGTACCTGCATCAAGGCGCCAGCTTCACAGGTTAGTACCGGACAGAGAGAGAGAGAGAGAGAGAGAGAGAGAGAGAGAGTTCTTCTTCTTCCTCTCCTAAGTCCACCATCTCTTCTTCCCCTCTCACTACCTGACTTCTCAGTATCTGCGGACTACGAGAGAGAGAGAGAGAGAGAGTTGTGATTTTGGGACTTGACGACATTGGATCCAGACTCGACATTGGGATTCAGACATTTGACGAGGGACTATTTGGGCCTGTGCCGAACACTTGGTGTTGACGACATTCCCATCTTCCCCTCTTCTTCGTCTAACCCCCCTCTTCTTCGTCTGTGTATGGCGGGGACTGGCGCATTCTTCCTGTGTGAGCGCCAGGCCCCTTCCCACCATGGAATGATGATGATGTGTGTTTGAGGCTGCATTGCAACATTGATTGTTCGGATCATTAGTATCTAAGTCTTCCGCTACGTTGCCTTGTACTTTGTGAGAGAGGTCGGTTCTTGTTCTGGTCTGCACCTTCACGGTATGCAACATAGCTCAAGAGAAGCACCGAGACGTCCCATAGTCCCCCAAGCCTTTTGGAAAATTTTGGCAAGCAACCTACACAATACCAATCAGGATTATCAGGGAATGATCTTAATCTGAGCTCTTTCAGAAGGGCCAGTAAGAAGGGTAGTTCTCCCAAAGGTTCAGTCGTAAGGTATGTGGCACGATGCAGGAAAGCGGTGGTAATGACCATCTTCTGTTGTTTACATGAGTAGGAGCCTAATTCCTGAAGACTTTGGATCTTAATCCCTTCCTCAGGTACACTCGGATTCTTGGGCGTCGATCTGCAAGTAATACGTCCGATTTACCCAGTATCGATATTCGCGTCCCAAGAAAATCAAAGCATCATGTACCATCATCAGTGAGCTCAAGAGTGATTATGATCGTAACATGAGAGGATTGTCCCTTTTGATTAGTAAGAAAATAGCAACATCCTCCATGAGTCTCATACCTCCTAACCTTTTCCAATCAGTGCAAAGGGATTGCAAAAACATCGATTCGAACCAGCAACACATACTACAAGCAAACTGTGGGCTAGTAGCCTTACCCATAGGAATACCAATGATGTGTCTGAGATTGGATCAAGCGACATATATATAGCAATTAACGACATCGAACTGTACAAATTCGAAGGCAAGTGGGTCGGCTGGCCGGCGGGCAGGTGGGCGGGTGGGCGGGAGGGCGGCCAGACGGGTGCGCGGGCAGGCAGGTAGGCAGACAGGACAGACAGAGAGGGGGGAGGGGGGGAGCAGTTCGGAAGAGGGTGAGGGAGAAGAGGGGTCGAAATAGGAGGAGCTGGAATACAAATTGTTACACGGGAAAGCAACTGGAAGAGTGGGATGTATGTATGTCTGTGTGGTGGGATGTATGTGTGTTTGTGTATGTGTATGTGTTTGTGTGTGTGGGGGGGGGGGGGGGGGGGGGGGGGGGGGGGGGGGGGGGTTGTGTAAAAACACAGCCATCCCAAAGCATGGGACTGTAGACAAAGTCGGTGGTCCTTTTAGTCCGGCACAGGGTTCACCCAGCAATATGTAAGTTTTAGGAGCAATTAAGATTAGAGTTAGCAGGTTAGCGGGGGTTAGGAGAGGAACTGAGGACCCAACCATAGGGGGGGTGCACACCCTTAAGCGCGCTTTTCGCTGCCTAGCACCCATAGCAGCTCATCAGAGGGGTTAGTTTAGTAGAGGCCCCTGTTAGGAAGGGGTGGGGGAAAAGAAAGGGAAAGGGGGGTGGCATGCCATAGTAGGCAATTAGGGGGGATAGAGTTAGCGAGTCTAACCTGAGTTGTCATGGTCGGTGTCGCAGGAAGGTCAGATGTTGCCATAGCTGGAGTTGTAGTCGTGTAGCGAACCGTCGGCTGGTTACAGTGTAAGAGCTGCACACAACGCACTGTATTGCGTACACCCGAGCCCAGGTATCCAATACAGCTCGCGAGCAGATGTGCTCGTGCGAGAGAAGCAAAGGGGACTCGTGTTACGGCGAGGTGGGAGCCAGAAAACGCAGGTTTGGTACTTCAGCAATGCGGCAAGAAGATGCGTGCATTTGCGTACGCAGACGTATTCGAGGGCGCATAATGTAACATAAGCTATTATATTGGTATGCATGCGAAGTTTGTGAAGTGTAGCAGGTCTGAGTGCAAGCTGGGATTCGCGGGGGTAGGATGGCGGTGTGTGTAGTAACTGCGCTTTTTTGGGGGGAGGTGACACCATGCGTGTATGCGGGAGAGTGCAGGTTAATGGTAGGGGTGTCTCTGTGCAGAGGATTGGCTTGTGCAGGGGGTCGTGTCTGATAGCATGCCTAGTGCAGAGGGTCGTTGTAGCCTTGTATCAGTACTGTCTTGGGGTTTAGATTGGGAGGGCGGGGGTGTTTGGTAGTGGACGCATGGGTGTATCGCAGGAGGAGGGTCTGTTCTGAGTGTATGTCATCGTCTGCTAGAGGTGAGCTATCAGTGTGTCGTGCTCTGGGTCTGTCTCGTAGCTTATGCGCCAGGGCTGTTTCACGTTACAGGATTCTTTGGTTTTGTCTTTTTTCGGTTAGCTCGTGTAGCCGTGTGTGTAATGTTTGCTGTGAGCGGGAAGGGCTGGCTATGGAGGAAGTAGGTAGCGTTGTTTCCCGTTTGTCCTTTATGCGTGGGCGTTGTCCTTTATTGTGGCATCCGCGTCGTTTCGGACTGGTGTAATGCGTGTATGGAGGAGAGTGAAGGTCAATGGTAGGGGTGTTTCTATGTAGGGGACTAGCATACCTTGATTTGCTTTTTCGTTGAGGGTTTGCGTTTGATAGCCTGCCTAGTGAAGAGGGTCGTTGTAGCCTCGTATCAGTACTGTCCTGGGGTCTAGATTGCAAAGGCGGGGGTGCTTGGTAGTGGTCGCATGGGTGTATCGTAGGAGTGTCCGCTTTGGGTGTAAGTCATCGTCTGCTAGAGGTGAGCTTTCAGCGTGTCGTGTTCTGGATCTGTCTCCTAGCTTATGCGCCAGGGGTGTTTCATGTCATAGGATTCTTTGGTTTTGTCTTTTCCTGGTTGTCTCGTGTGTGTGTAATGTTTGTTCTAAGCGGGAAGGGCTGACTATGGAGGAAGTAGGTAGCGTTATTTCCTGTTTGTCTTTTATGCGTGCTGTTACGACCGCACTGGGTTTCTTTTGAAAAACGTG